GCCTTGGAGTTGCCCCCCCCCCCCCCAAAAGAAGCAATAAAACAGTTGCTGGCGCCCAAAGCCTGACGGCATATGTTCCTGCCAGGAGTTGTGTTGAGGTGCCATTTTTATTTTTAGATCTTTATTGCTCGGGAAGCGCACGGCGAGCAGCTTTTTCATGCCGTCCTGCGGGGTAGTTCCATAGCGGTGTGTGGGAGGCCAGAAAAAGTACCCACAATTCCTACTGCTCACCTGCCACCCTGAGCAGAGTCATTGTCTGATACAAAGGCTTTATGCCCGAGGCAAAGGTGGTCTGGCGGGGGAGGGGGGAGACACGTGTACAAAGGAGTCATTTATCATTCAATGGAAGTATTTGCATAACCGTGCTGCGCTTTGTTCAGCCATGAATAGGTGATTTCAGGGAAAGTGACGTTTTTCACGCCGCTGGCCCGTCAACATTCACCGAAGGTCGCTTTTGACTGCCGCGCTGTGCGGGGAGAGAAGCCTAAAAAGTTGGTCGTACACCAGAAGATGTTAATTTCCGATAGTTATTGGGGGTCAAATCAATTTCGACCACAGCAATGAAAAAAAGCAAAGGCGGGATGGGAAATTGTTCTTGAATGAACAAATATTTAACAAGGAATGGGGTTTTTTTTTTTGGTTTCGAAAATTCCATGCGTTCTAAAATCAAATGTTAAAAGCAAACAAGATTTTTGAAGTCTCTGATGGTATTATTGAATGTTCTGATGGTATTATTGAATGTTCTGATGAGACTTTTTTTGTATGAACGTTTGTACGAAAATCTTCCATTGTACGGCCAACTTAAAGGGTAAGTCCACTTTCCCAGTCGAATTTGGGGAAATGGAATTGCCCATCAACCTGCTCCTCCTTCTCCTTCCCCCCCTCCATAGCTGCCGATTGTAGTACTTGTACACAGCAGCGCAGCCCTGCAATCAGTATTTTAAAGCTTGCATTCAAATGGCGAGCACTCATTGGTCAGTGTGTGGTCACCTGACCATGAGAAGCGCTTCTGACCACCCTGACCAAGGAGTAGTATTTTTTTCTGCGCTGACCAATGAGCGGTTGCCATTTCTGTGCAAAATTTAAACTGATATGTGCAGGGCTTCGCCGCCGTGTACAGGTCCCACACCAGCATCCATGGTGTTCATTGACAGGTAAGCGCAGGGGTTTTGGGCGTTGCAGTGTTTGGGTCAGAGGACGCAGATTGGTGGAGGTAATTCCATTTCGCCAAATTCACCTGGAAAAGTGTATTTACCATTTCAAATATCTACCAGTGTTTGGACAGCTGAAAGGGTAATTCTAGTTTCAAGTAATTCAAGTGAATTTGGGGAAATGGAATTACCCCCACCAATCTGCCCCCTCTGACCCAGTCATCAAACCACCCATCCCCAGCCCACTGCTGCTCTCACCTGTAAGCCCTCATTCACACTAGAAAAGGCCGGCACGTACAGCTCCGTGCTCCATGCATGGCTGTATCGGGCAGCTCCCGGGAAGGACAGGAGCTGCGTGTGATTAGTAC